GCGGATAAGGCACTACACATCGGAACCTCTCCCTCACGAGTGGCGGCGCAATGGGTTGCGGCACTTGTGGCGACTCCTTTACCGCACTCTTCGTCAGCCGATTCTTAATCACCTAAACATTTGACACAAAAATAAAGCAAACATTTAAGACATAAAATTCGTGACATTTGACACCAATTGTCAAATGTATGGAAAAAATGTTTCTCAGAAAAGAGACTTAAGAGACAAACAAATAGTTTTTGTCAGCAAATGATTGATTGCTTGCATAAGAGCACAAAGACTTACGGTATTTGTGTCGTCAAAAGAGGACTGTTTCTTATGTGACTGTAATTCCGGTAACGACTCGTTAGGACAGGAGCCGGACCTGATGTGAAGGGGCGCCACACTGTTGGGCGATGTGTCCACAAACGACGGATTATCACACGAAAAGCTATTGTTGTGGTTATTATTACTATTATTACAGTTATTATTATTATTATTCATCTGATGTTTGCGTTTAGGCTTTGAAGACGTCAAGCGTTTTATGAAATTTGATTTCTCTTTCGTTTTTGATTCCTTTCGATCGGTGGGCGGCCTATGACTGGTCGGTGTCATCGACGCCCCGCCGCCCGACGACATCACCGACACGTTTGGCGGCGGAGTTATGGCTGCGGCCGACGTGTTGGTGGCCATTGATATCGTGTTCCTCGTGGCCGCCACTTTCGGCTGATGCCATTGAGTACTACATCCAGTGAGACAAACCATACCATTAATAGATCGTAACACGATATGAGTTTCAATTTGATAATGCATTCAATAGCATATAATTATGACATATTATGGCAACAATTTCTGGACAAAAATACTCCTTATTATCATTTTCATCAACAAAACATTTTTCTGTCTGATTCGCTAAAAGAGATTCAATCTCTTAATGATTTGAATGACTTTAATGTCCTTTTAATAGCACTCAAACATATTATTAGTGGATAAAAGAGATGTGTAATTGCGATGAAAGAAAAGTTTTTGCTTATATCTAAACTTTTCATATAAAATGCTTAATAAAAATTCTGACAAAAGGGAATCATTGTATGAAATTCTGGATAATACACGAAAAATTATTTAAAAACTCATTTATAGGCAAACATTAGAGAAAACTAAATAAAAAAAGTTTGCTTTTAAATGGATGTCTGCTCTTAAAAAGTCCATCGACTTAATGGACCTCTAATTTGAATATTAAGTCTCGGCATAAACAGCAACAAAATCTAATACTTTATTCAAACTAATGTAATGATTATAAGTAACGAATACTTATATGATTACCGGAACTGGAGATCAGTGTCTCTCTGGGTTTGTGTTTTGAGAAAACATAAGTCATTATAACTTTCCATTTGTAATAAAAACTTCACATTAATAGCCAGAAGTTGTGTTCAAAATAAGCAGTCATTAGCACAACATTATTCCGGAGCTAATGATTGAGAATCGCGTTCACAAAAAATGAATTCTTAACACAGAATTCATTAATCAAATAAAAACATCATTCCTATTGAATTCAACGGCAATTTGCAAATAATTTCGCTTCACTTTACTATCAATTAGTCAAATGATTAATAGTTTTGACCGAAAAAAGTTTCATAATTATGTTATTAAACTTATACTATTAAGTTATTAAATGACATTTATAACTAAATATTAAACAATTGTATGATTTCTATATAAGTTTAAAATCTAAAATCAAACCATGAGAAAAATTAGATTTCATTTTCAAAACTATCACTCATTTGATTGCCATAAATGCTATTTAAATGAATGCAAAACTGGATTAATATGGAGATCTCGCTTACCTTTGATTGAGTGAGGACTGGGAGGCGGACTGGGGTTTGGAGACGAGTAGCGACTGGTTGAGCGCTTGAGCCAATTGACTCTGCGGTGAATTGCGTTCGTCCGACGGCTTAGTATTAGGCACTAAAATACTACTGAGTGGTCGACCGGGCCGTTGAGTGGGCGGCGGCGGTGGCACTAAAGCCGACAAATTTCTCGACGCGTCGTAAATGGGTTGACCGGTGGGTCGCGGTCTTGCATAGACTATTGCATTATCGGTGGCAGTGCTGGCGGTGTTGGGCTGTGAGCTCGTCGGCTGAGCGATCACCTCATTGACCGCCGCAGTGGTTGTCGACGCCGATGGAGCTATCGATGGTTTGGCGTGANGCGACTGAGATCTTTGATACACGGGTGCCGGCGCTGGCGGTGAGGCCGAGCACAGGGAGTGTCGCTTTTGATTGATGCCATTGTTGGCGCTGTGATCAGCACTTCTTTGCGATACAGTCGCCGATGTAGTGTCCGGTGATTGCGTTGCCAACAGAACGCCAGGCGCTGTACTCGTCGTCAATATTAATGCTGATGACTGTATGACTGGACCAGAAACTGATGACATCACCAGAAACACAGGCAATGAGTGAATGAGTGGAAACAAAATGATGATAAATTTTATTTGTTTTGTGCGTTCAATCAATGGATAAATTATGTTTACGAATGAGAGAGCAGTAAAAGTGGTATAGAAATAGCATTTTTGGACAATAATGTGTGAGTGAGAGAGAGAGAGAGAGAGAGAGAGAGGGAGAGAGAGAGATGTGTGCGAATCGATTGTGTGGATGAAACTCCAGTCAATAACAGTTGACTAAATACTCAACTATATTCGCATGCTATTCACCAGCAGCTTCTGTATTTAATAGAGAAAAAATAAACTTAGTAATTTAGGCTCGCTTTTTGAATTTTTTCAATTTTCCGCATAAACTGCAAACGCTAACATATTTGTCAAAATGTGTTTTAATTCACACAAATATTAATGCAAATATTTATTTAAGGGATACAATTTTCTAGGAAAACATTAATTTATTATTCATTTCAATGCATTACATAATGCCGTGAATGCAGTGGTATTTCCTTTTGTGGGAGAAAAGCCTTCAAACGAAATGAATTCATTAAAATAAATCTGTATTTTTTGGACCATTTACTTGATGGATAGACAACTCAAGTGAACGAGTGATAAATACATATAACATAGAAGTTATATAAAAAATTGTAATCAAAATAAAAGTCCGTTTCCGACAAACAGAAAGGGCTGACAAACCATTAGTTGCCAATATTGTGGCGAAAAATCGTATGCCGTTTAAAAAGGCGACAGGAAATGAGGCAAATGTTTCGACTGAGAGTCCGATTCGCTTATTTGGGAATAAATAAAAAACGGGAGGAAAAGGAGCACAAAAAAGAGGCTAACCGTCCAAAAATAGATACATATCCTCCATAAGGAATTGAATGGTGAACACACAGAAGCGACAAAAAAAAGTAAAGGTTTACTAACCGGTGACCGGCATTACTGCAACTATTGGAGCACTGGTTGTCACTTTGGATGAGGGATTGGCGTTGGAAAGGGATGTCATGATAGCTGCTGACGAGGGCTGCGGACTACTAGCTGTCGTCGTATGACTGTGTGATGACTGACTGGCGAAGGCGTCGGTCGTATTACTCATACTCTGCAACAAGACTACGGCCCCCGAAGTGGTGGGCTCTGGCGATATGGCGGTCGTGATGGGGGCGGGCGGTGCGCACCGAGAGGGCGTGTTCGTGTTGATTGAGGCCAACTTCATGAGCGCTCGGGCCGACACATTCATCTCGACGAAACTGATGGGAAAGATGCCGATGCGGTCCATGAGCTTGCCTAGCCGGGTTAAGAGCAGGTGAGCTGCCTATTGACATTAGTGTAGGCTGAAGCGCTTGCTGTCCGTCAGGAAGAGGAGCTGTAGTCACTGGGCCTTCAGCATCTCCCGGATGTTTACGTGGTGTAAAACAACATACAGATGTCATTTGGGCTCTCAATTTAGTGTCAATTTCTATCGTATTTCGACTTTTTCTATGAATTATTTCAACACAATGTCATATATTGTACTCCATTATAGACATTGAGTTTCATATCAACGAGTTTTTAGTCAAATAAATCCTAATAAATATTTGACAAAAAAGTATATTTAAACCTGATTTACAGTACAATATATGTCAAGTATTAACAATGATTTATAGACATTCCTCTCATATTAACTCGTATTATAACATTGAGTTTGAGACTTAAATTTAGTTTTTAACCGAAAACACTATTTATAAAAATATATGTATAAAATGATGAATAAAAATACAGAATTTGCTGTGAAGTGCATAAAACTAAAACTCGCATTTGTATTTTGAATTTCAATAATAAACACTTCTCGGAATTTTAATACTTTTGTTTAAACAATGCCTTTAGTAATTGAAAGCGAAAATAATTATACAATTCAATGAATAAATTAATATTTCAATGCATACTATAAATACAGTAAACTCTATGGGGAAATGGAAAAACAAATCCAAATCACTATTTGTTTAATTAATTAATTCCTAAGTATTCATAAATATTAACAATTCAATGAATAAATTAATATTTCAATGCATACTATAAATACAGTAAACTCTATGGGGAAATGGAAAAACAAATCCAAATCACTATTTGTTTAATTAATTAATTCCTAAGTATTCATAAATATTTAATTATTAAATGAAAACTTATTTTATTATCAAATGCAGCGTTAGATAAACAATGAATTTATATTGTAATCAAATATTTAAATCGATTAATTTACATCTCAAAAACTCTATACTTAAATAGTAAAGCAAATGTGAAATATTCATTAATTATTGTGACATTTCACGATATGATTAGGCATTGAGTGCTTATGTAACTGCAAAACTACATGCATTTGTGCAGTGAAAGTGTCATAAACTAATCCTTTCGCACAATAAATTATTTTGTTATCCCTATTATCCCAATGATTTCAAAACACACATAAAACTAACATTAATATAACAATCGATTTTTAAAACTCAACACAAAAACAAACAATTTTTGCGTGAAATGTGAGCACAATTATCTCCATACATGTAATATATGTGCGAATTCTGTATTAAATAAAACTCGACATTAAATCTCAATTATGATCGTAAGAGTTGTTTAGATTATATAATAATATTTCGGTTCAGATTCTGCTGATTCTTTATTCAAGTTTATCATGAAATAAAAAAATAACAACAAAAACCTTCAAAAATAAAACAGATATTAAACAAAACTTTAATCTCAATGCAGACATAACACATAAAAACAAGAGAACCGAAAGAATTCATTAAAACAAAGTTCACATTCACTGCCAAATGGTATGCAATGGGAAGTCATTGAAACTTAAGCCGTGAATACTATTATTGTACTATTATTTTCGGTACGAAAAACAGTATTGAAATAAAAAGTGAAAATAAATTCTGAGATAAAAGTCTACGAAAAAACGTATAAAAAATGCTATCACTGAATAGTAAACGATTGGATGCAAAAATGGATAAACATTTCACAAAAAACCATAACAATAAAAACATCTAATAATACCTGTTCTCGGAGATTAAAATAAAAAATTCAATCAACAAAAACTGTTTAAAGCAATCTTAGAGTTTTCAAATTTTAAATCTATGCTATCATTAAATATCGTAAAATAGCCGAAAATAAAAAGAAAACACAAATACTATAAACAGTAATACAATACTCGATAGAAAACAATAATAAAAATTCACAAAATAGAGACATTAGTACAACAAATAGATAATACAATATACGAGTCAAACCATATGTACTGTATTTATATTGAATTTATGGAAATAAGTCATTAAATACTAAATGCGAGTGAATGGGTAGACAATACATACCTTGCATTGCGGAGGAACGGGAGAGGGCGGCGGGACGAGCACCTGGACATAGCTAGCCGGCAGAAAACCAGACTTGTTGTTCAGCTCTCCGTGAAACCAATTTTGATCAATACGTTTACGTAATATTATAATATCTCCCTTTTTGAACGATAGATCACTGGAAACAGACAACAAAAATAATACATTTTAGCATTCATTTTCAATTATTGTATTGTATTACGGTACATATTTTTGGCAAACAATTATTCATTCAATAAATCAGTTTTCAATTATGCAAAAGAATTGCAATTATGTTACGAAAAAAAGTACTTTCTATTGTTTTCAATTGTATAATACAGAAATTATTGGAGTAAATGAGATTCATGTCATTGACATTCAACACATGAATACCACATTCACAGGAAGAGACAATGAAAACAATAATTGTTTGATATATGAATATTCAATGGCATAGACACACGGACTGGTAGGGGATAGGTGTCTGTCGTGAGAATGCAATGTTTTGCTTCATTATTCCTATCACTCATATGTGTAGAGAATTATTAAATTATATTCAACTGACGTTTTGGATGAAAATTATATAACAGTTATATAATAGCAAATGAAAACATATTTAGTTTACAGAAAACTATGAAAACTATTTACTAATTGCTGTTTATATAGAGAGAAAGTCACAGAATATTCACAACACATGAATACGACAGAGAATTATAAAAACTTTTTTCAGTGAAAAATTATTTACGGAATTTTAGCGTCCAATTCATCATAAGATATGTATACAAACAGTTCAGTGAACTGAATACAGTATATGAGAGAGAATTTGCTGTTTTTTGTGCTCAAAAAAGTGCTCATAAATAATATGCGAGAGAATCTCGGAAAAAGCAAAAGAAACAAAAATATTATATTAAGAAATGAAACCTAAAATACCAGTAATTGTATAATTCATAAAAAATGTTTTTTGTGCTCAAAAAAGTGCTCATAAATAATATGCGAGAGAATCTCGGAAAAAGCAAAAGAAACAAAAATATTATATTAAGAAATGAAACCTAAAATACCAGTAATTGTATAATTCATAAAATGGATTAACTGTTTGTATGTAATGTTCAGTTGAGGGCATACATTAAAACTGTAATGAATTTAAGGGTTGGCCCGAGATTTAGTTATGAAAAATGGGGTATTTCTCGCAAAAAATACATTTCTTCTGTACATAAGAAAAAATTAATGCATTTTATAAGAAAAACGAAAAAAGTTTTACTCATTTTTCACTACAAAATGAATAAAAAGCACACAAAAACGAAAGATTAGAAAACTTATGTATAAACTTATATTTGTTTTCATAATTTGTTGAACAATAAAAGCTTACCAGTGCTCTGAATAGCCATTATATGGCAAACGATAACTGTCTGAAACTTTTTGTTATTACTGTTATGTAGTCTAATGTACTTTTTGTGGTGGACACCAAATAATTGCCTAAACATTAGTATGTGGGCGATATTTGAACTTTTATGGGAAACCATAGACGCCTTTAATCTGATATTTGTTGTGAATAGCATTTTATGTGTAAACACGACATGAATTCAATTTGAATATTAATAGGCAAGGAATGTATGTGTGTTTTGGGAAGGGATGGGAAAGGTATGACAATCAACATTGGGATGGGTATACAGAGCGGAGATATACATATTTGAGTTGTATTTATGTAATCAATCATAAAAAGGGACACAAATAGGAATAAATATATTTTTCTCGTTTTGGAATGATTTCCGTTAAGGAAATCAAAAATTAAACATTAAATTAGAGAAAAATAAGTGTTTTTTATTTAATTTATTTATAAGGTTTCCATTTCGGCGTCCAATAAGACGTGGAAAAATCAAAAATCAATTTTCAAATAACTAATGAAATTATAAAATGTATGGGAAAATAGTTGTGCTCTCGTTTTCACGATTCAAACCATCGTTTTTATAGTATACCTTAAAATGCAATTTAAATATTATTATCAATACTTATGATCTCTCTCTCTCTCTCTCTCTCTCTCTCTCACTCTCTCTCTCTCTCTCTCTCTCTCATGTTATCGATTATTTCATTACTATTGGGGAGGGGATGGAGAAGTAGATTTCATATCACTATTAAAAAAGTAATAATTTCAAGAATCGATTCAAGAGTGTGAGAGAAACCTAAGCGAATAGAAAATACTGTAATCTAACGAAAAACTAAAAACACAAGTACTGTAAATACAAATATTTGGTTTTTGGTCACAAAATTATTCGCAAATCAAGAATTTTTCTCATTTTGCAATCAAATTAAAAGTCAGTAATTTGTAATTTATTGATAAGAGATTTGTAATTATGCGAAAAATATATATCCACTTAGAAAAACATTTTATTGCTCATTAAATGTCTACAAGAGAGAGAGAGAGAGAGAGAGAGAGAGAGCCACAAGTTCTCATGGTTTTGGGTGAGACAGACAGACAGACAGTAGTGAATGAGAAATACTATAAAATCTCGATTATCACTAAGAAATTTAATACTAAAAATGATTGAAATACTCGTATTTCTAATAAAAACAGAAAATCAAAAAAATTAAACAACTATTAATAAATATAATGGTGAAGCCATTATTGGTACTCTTAACGAGAATTTATTTTAATTCAAAAAAATCAATCAAAAATCGTTTCGTATGACGACTTGAAGAAAACAAGTACTGAATATTTAAATAAATATAAAACAAATTGATATTCAAACTACAGTATATACTGTATCTGAGAAAAAAAATGAAACCCAAGCAATTTGATTGATTGACAAAATAGCTTTTTAAATGATTATAATTTTCTATAGATTATTGAAATCAATGCTAGCTTTCTGTCAAACAAACAATTATATTGTGTTATAAGAGAGAAAAGGGGAGAAACAGATAAATGTCCCAAAAATAAAATCAAAATTTTAATAGTTATTTATTCACACAATTTATGTGAGAAAAGGAGCTATGGTTGGAGAGAGAGAGAGAGGGAGGGAGAGAGAGAGAGAGAGAGGGAGAGAGAGAGAAAGGGAGAGAGACATACCAGAAATTTTTTCGGTGTTCAATTAAAAAACAAGTTTAAAGTGCAAAACGGGTTTCACTTTATATACTTTATGTGCAATTGATATGTGCTTTTCGCCAAACGATTCATTAGTTGTTAGCTTCAAAAAGCAAAATCACAAAAAAACACAAAACGCTGTTTTGAGGAGCAATTAAACTGCAAAAAATGTAAGTCTGAGAGGAATGGCAGCTCTCGATCGCAATTAATGGTCTCACAAGAAATTAAACATCAAATCGCTTCTCGGAATCGTTAAGAAATCAAGAATTTTTGTCTACATTTCTGCGACTCATATATTAGATTACTTTCCCATTAGGTGTGTGCACCGCAAAAAACATTGAGAAATATTATTTCAGACATTTTCGGCGTTTCTTTACTTTTATAATCACTAATATTTATTTGGGAATCGATTTGAGAGAGAGAGAGAGAGAGAGAGAGAGAGAGAGAGAGCTGACGTGAACTCCTAACTAATAAATAAAAATAATAAAACAAATTTAGATTTCAATTCCTAATCTATTGGTTTCGGTCAACAATTTTTCACTTTTCAAATAGCGTTTGACTATTTTTTTATACATCATATCTGCTTATAGTCTTAATGTTTATACTAAAAGCCTTTTTCACTGTCAGAAAAGTCATTAAAAACAGATTTAAAACGGCTCAATGCATACATCGCTGTGTTTAGGTAACAAAAAAACAGTTACTCTTTTCAAACACCATAAAAGTTTATATAATAATAAATGTCTACAATCCGGGTGTTATGTGTACTAAGAATACCAGTGTCTGAAACTATTGGATGAGTCGCTGCCATATAATTATCAATTGTTTTAAGTCTTCATATTTGTATTCATAAACATTTTTGGGACAAAAGCTATATTTACATTAAATTATTAAAGCATATGATAGGAAAATATTGAATGTATTTATTGGCAAACTATATATGGAAATAACAAAACGCGAAAAATCAATTAAAAACTAATTAAACTCATGAACGCATTCTTGAGTTATGAATATTCTCTGACTTTTAATTAGAAATTTAAACAAAAGGCAAATAAAAAATAAAACACACAATAAATGTGAGAAATTAAAGGCATATAATGTATGGTAGAAAACACATTGGCGTTCATAATAAGGGCTCATAAATCAAACGCCAAAAACATAATTAATAAACAAACGCATCGGAAATGCGTTAAACGCGAAGGTGTTGAGGGAAAGGGATGTATAGATAAAAGTATTGACCAAAAATAGATCTGTCCCTAAGTTGTGAACAAAATGAAACATTTATGGCAAACAATGTCTGCAATGTCTAATGAATGTGTCGCTGGTGTGGTGTACGAGGGAAAGGCGTCAAACATGACATTAAATGTAATATAATTTAATGGATATAAACGGCAGACAAAAGAGACAAAAAGAAAATTCAAATAAAATAAATGTGAATTAAGGGCTAAAATTAGGTTAACTAAACACATTGGCATGCGATAGAGGTTTGCGATAATATTATTGACATTAATTCCATTGGCGTCTAAACAATACATATGAGAGACTATTATAGACAGAGATATTAACCATAAGTGAGACTCATATATAAATAAAAAAGACTACTCTTTTAGGCCACTTATCAGATGTTCAGTGAAACAGTTAAACCATTTTATTAATTAACACACATATGAGGGGACAATATAATTGATAATAAAAAGACAACACATTTCCAGTACCAAATGATCCACGTAATTAGGGGACTCGGATATTACGGGACTGGTAGGCAAAGAGTTGCAGTGAATACATCTAATCATCATTTTTCTGTCAGAGGTTGGCGTTACTGATAACACGGCTAACGATTAGATAAGTGTACTTTTATTGCACAATATGCTAGCAAAATAGTGTATGAATAATAGTAAAATAGCATTACAATGAATACAATGAATAGAATAGGAATTAAATCATAAATTATATCCAATAGAAAGAAAAATTTGATTTTCCGTACATTTCGTAGAGAGATATCAATTGCTATTTATTATATCCCTTTCGCTGCTAAATACAACAGATATTATGCTATTTATTCTGTGCTAACATTATCTATGGCTATACAGTAGGGTTTGCCATAATTTAATCGCGTAATGTCTTTTTCATACAAATGTTTTCTCTGTTATTATTCCGGAGAAACATTGTTTGAATTTTGGGAAAATGAAATTCAAATGAAATTCAAATCATAATATAAGGGTTAACTTAACTTAAACATAAACATACTGTAGATAACTGGCACACAATGAGTGTATATAGATGTCTACAAGAGATGTGAAACATAGATACTGTGTATGAAATACTTAACTTATACTTATAAATAGGGTCTTAAGAAAAGGCAGTTTCTCTTGACTTTCAAATATTATGCAACAAAATGTGAAATTCCTCTGAAATACTTGAATACCATTCACTCAAATAAATTGCATTCAAATCTCATTTGGGAAATGTTGGCTCAAAAAAAGCAAATGAAAAGTAAAAACAAAAACACGGCTCAAAAATAAGCGAAAAACAAATCGAGAAATGAAATTCAATTTAGCATTTTTGAGATTCCCAGCAATGTTTGTGCATTTGATTCACAAAATAATAGCAGTTTTAAAGTTAATTAAAAGTCAAACGCAAAGTGAAAAAAGCGCAGAAATATATAAACAAAGCAATATTTTAAGCGTAAATCCGAAACAATAATAAATATATTTCAAACAAACAGATTTCGGATTCATGAATAACTACCAAACACTCAAACAAAACATAAGGCAAAAAGTTTTGTAGCGTTTTCTGGCGAAATGTTAATCGAAAAAAATGTGTTCAAAAAGTTTAACATAACGTAAGACGAGAGACACACAAAACAAAAGCAAAAACAACTAAAACACATAAAAGAGGTTTTCTTTTTCATTCCGATCTATAGTTTCGAGAGAAATATATTTAAATAAAACAATTGAACGGAAAGAGTGTTAGAAAACAACAAAAAGCGAGAATTAAAACCAAAAATGGAGATAAAAATTGTCGGAAACAAGAAACACATTATTTGTGAATCTAATGACTTTCTAACCGTAAAGACAATCATAATAATTGAGTCAAAAATCATGAATACCCTTCCAGTTCCTTTCCATCGTAATTGTACAGAGCCTTAGCTCTGGGCAGGGAGTTGGGGGTCGGGACCAACTGTTTGACTAAACTCTGTTGTTGTTGTAGTTGTGGTGGCGTTTGGCTTGGATTTGACTGCGAGTGTGGCGTCGAGTGACTCAACAATTGACTGATGGATACGCCGGCCATTGACTGCTGGCCGGCACCGGGGCCCACACCGCCGGCTCCGGGATGCGAACCAAACTGTAACAAATCGTGGGCATCATTGCGATCAGTCGACGGTTTTCGGTTGCTTTTAATGCCTGAAAAATGACACCAAATATATAAAAGTCAATTAAAAAACTTTTCTTTCGCTGTTATATTAATTAACATTTTGTGTTATCAGTGACACAAACCGTCATTAAATTCATTATAATTTTATGCTTTACTGTACTTTTCAGACGATTTTCATTTATAATTAATGAAATGCGCGAAAAACAACTATTAATTATCGGACAGTTATTTCTTCGCT